AGCTATGAAATCTTTTCTGGTTTCCTCTGACTAAATCTTTCCATCCTTTATTCAGTGAGAATCTATCCTAAATACCTGAAGAATTCTCAACATAGTAATGATGCTCTGTATATAGTGCAGAGAAATCTTGGAACGGGTAGAACTCCCACAAAGGAACAAAGTCTGAGATGCATTTGCAAGCCTCAGACATGAGATAGGAGCAATATCAGGAGGAGTGATGAAAGATACCTTTGAAGACGTGAGGAAGGAAATGAATTAGTAGGCATGAATTCATACATAGAAAGGAAGTGCACTTGAGGGTAAAGGGATAGCAGAATTTAACTAGAGGCAAGTAACAATTTGTAAGTTGTGAGTAGTGAAGATACCAGCTTCACAAGAATAACTTATTGGGTGGTGAAGACAAAGATAAGTTGGAAAGACTTAAACAGTTGATCAAGAGATCAAGTAGTTTGAACTTAATAGAGTAGACTGTAAGATGAGAATTGACTAGGAAGTAAATTAGTCTGGTCCAAGGTGGTGTTTAAGGAAGGCAGAGAGGGAGTGGTAAGTGAGAGATGTTGAAAAGGAAGATTCTGTAGGCCACAGTGACTCAAAGAATGCGGGGGTAGAGGAAAGAGGTATAAAAATAACTAATTAAAGCAATGCTTTATGTAGAGTGCCCTATTTTATCCAAAATGATGATGTATCCTATTCTGTATTTTGATTCCCATGACTAAGAAAGAAAAAATTATCTTAGAACATCTTTTCATACAGGACAGCAGTTTTAAAGCTCCTGTTTCAACAAACTCATTCTACCTCACTTGCACTTTGAAATTCCATAAATGGCATTCAGGTTGTTTGAGACCAGACGTGTGGGACACCTAACTCATCACTCACACTCAATCTGACCAACAGGCCTAAAACTAACCTAAATATGGCCTGAAGTGAATGACCATTTAGGAAACAAAGTAAACTTTCCAGCAATATAGTAATGAAAATATATGCTTAGCTTTCAAAAGAAATGTATCTTCTTATTTTTAATGCAGAAAAATTTTATAAAATTATAAGTATTTTCACAAGGATGATCTCATTTTCACAGTAGCTCTGCAAAAGAGGAAACGGAGGAGATATTTTTATTCTCATTTTATAAAAGAAGAAATTGAGAGATGGGGAGATCAAGTGTCTCTTCCAATTCTCCCTCTCAAGTAGGCCAACAGGTTAGGGCCAGAGCCAGTCTTCCTGATGACGTCCCTTTCTATGCTCTTAAACCCAATCTGTCTGAGGACTTGGCATGGCACTGTCAGATGACATATACCAGGTGTCTTATATTTTTATTTCACGACATGTAAATGACATTTATACAGCACAGTCTATAAATATTCTACCCAATGAATTCTATCTGAACAAGCAAATGTTTGCTGACATCCCCATCTACAAGAGTTTTGGCCATGACTTATTATCTAGACATCTATATATATTTTTTAAAGTGGGCAGTTGAGTACTGTCAAGTTGTTATATGGTTTTGTCCTGTGATAACTGGTCACTCATCTTATGCATTCAGAAACCTTCTATCTTCATAAAGATATTGTTGCAGGGTTCTTTCTCACTTGCCTGATGACTTGAAAAATTGCTGTGAGCGGAAAATACCCATAAATTGTAAAAGGCAGTCTAAGAAACACAAATAGTTCTCACTCTGTTTCTAAATAGCAAGATCACATTAAAACTCAAAAATAGATAACATTAATCACTATAATTCAAACAACTACTCTTTAGACCTGGCAGGGAACCTTGAGAGCTTTCAACATGACCCTTAGTTCTTTTTTCCTATGAAATTCTGGCAGAGCAGAGGGAAGGAGAGAGCACGCTTGGGGACTAAGGAGTCTGTTAACAATGATTAAAGTTTGGGAGAGCATTAGAGGAAGTGGCATTTGTTCCCTTTCTCACTTTTACTTGGCCATTCAGAAACCCATCATTTCCACAATCATCTTTGACTGTAACTGTTGTGGGAATATCTTGGTAGGACTGTCCTGATTTTATGGAAGAACGTAACGAAGGACAAATAGTAATTACTGAAATAGCAATCATCTGTTGCATAATAATTTATAGCTTAGAAACCGTTTCACCTGTATGATCTCATTTGTTGTTTCCCATAGAACAATAAGCTGCTGTTACTATTGCTCATCATTACTTCTAAAGAATCGGAGTCACAGAGGATTGAAGCCAGTTTGGGAAAGTTATACAGCTAATAAGTGATGAAACTAGAACTTAGACCAAAGTCTTTCGACCTCATATCCCATGTGATCTCTACTATACCTTACAGCCTCCTAAACCTAAGGAGAATGTTGGATCAAGAATGAAAGTAGACATCAAAAATAGTCAATGAGTTTAAAAAAAAAAAAAAAAAAACCTCACTGAATAGGAAGATTGAGGAAACGAGGCATACCTAAGAGAAAATCCAAAAGGCCAATAAACATGAAAAGATGCTCACCCTCACTGGCAATCTGGGAAATGCAAATCAAAACTATGATCACATCCATTAGATTAGTAAAAATTAAGTATGAGAATACCAAGTACTATGTCAGATGTAAAGCAATGAAAAGTTCAACACACTACCGATGGGAGTGTCAATTGATATGACCTCTTTTGTCAGCTGTTTGCCATTATCTAACAAAGTTGAAGATGCACATGGTCTGTGCCAGCACAGGGTTCATGGCAGAGTTATTTTCAATAGCCACAAATTTGTCATAACTCCAGCGTCCATTAACAAAAGAATGGATGAATGTTATTAAGTAGTAATATAGCCATCAATAAATACTATATTATGATGAAAACTAATGAACTAGAGGCACAAGTATCAAAATAAATATCACAAACATATTTTAAGAAAAGTTACAGAGTATTAAAATATATACCGTTTACAAAAGGCTTAAAATATGTAAAAATACTTCCCAGGGATTATTATTTAGGGATTAGATACTATTTAGAGATATTATTTTTATGGACACCTAGATATGATATAAACTATAAAGTATATGTAAATAACAAACCTCAAGTAGGACAATGGTTACCTTGGAAAGGGCTGTAAAGGAAAGCAAGTTGGGGGAGAGGTGCTAGCCACGGGAGATTCAACTAAAACAAGCAATGTTCCAGTCATTAAGTTGGATGTTAGTATACAAGTATTTGTTGTTCTTTCAACCTTTTAAATGTGGAAAATAATATAACATTAAAACTAAAAGAAACAGGAGGAGAAAAAAATAGTCTATCTGAATTAGACACTTCTCTGGGATACTGAGATGAACAGAATCAATTAAAAACGATGCCCAAAGCATCCCCAGCTGCCACAGGCTGATGAGGAATTATAAGAGCAGTGAGGGAATGTCCACTCCAATTCAGTTCTGAGCCATGGACCCACATTCCAGCCTCCACACCAGTACCCTCCCTGATAGACATTATGGAAAAGTGAAGTTTCATCTGACCAATCACATAGGTTGTGACATTTTCTAGAGGCAGACCTAATCTGGATCCCTGAAAATGTCTGCTTGGCCTTTCTGTCAATTTAGGAAGAGGGACTGTTAATTAAGACAATGCTGTTAATTGTTTTATTCATTTTATGTTATACACCTACAAAAGACCAGAAAAGTAGTCAACTCTAAAAGTTCAACTCTGTTTTTCATTTTTTATGTTTGCAAGCTTGCTGGGCAAGGATGTCTTAGAATGAAATCCCTAGCCATTTGCACCTCCCATTCCAGAATTATTCTGATAAACTGATGTGTTCTGAGTTGTTTATTTGACAATCTGTGAAAACATGTCTTTTCATCCCTAATATACTCCTCAGCATAGTCAGGCACAATCTCAATTTGCAAGTTCAATTTTCAAGTATTATGGTTTGTGAAGATAAAAATAACAATCCATGATAAAATAGTTCTCCAAAAATAAAATTGTTATTCATACATAATTGAAAATTTTTTAAAACATTTATCTCAAACAGCCATGATTTTCTGCATTTTAAGCAGGAAAAAATATTCCTCTGAACATATTTTATAATGAATAATTTGCATTCAGGGCATTTCTAATCTAAAGTTAGCCTCTAACCAGTAGACCTCTGAAAATCTGTGATAGTTCACTGGGGAGAAAGGACAAGTGCCTTTATTGAAAATGATCCGCAGAAATATTAGTTTATCTAAGATCAGAGGATGAACTATGGCAGCTTTCTGTTTGAAACCAAGGGTCTCAAATCTCTTCCATCCTATTTTAACAACAATCATATTAATAATAGTCTACGTTTATTGAGCACTGTGTGTCACACACTATGCCAAGTACTTTTCCTACCTTATGTCATTTCATTCTCACAACTTTACAAATGAGGAACTGTGGCTCAAAGCAGGTAACTTGGTCAACATTGCATATCTGTTAAATAGTTGAGCCAAGATGTCAACCCAGCTCCCCAATCCCAAAACCTGCACTCTTGACCTTTGCTTGCATATACATGGAAGCTTTGTAATTACCTGCTATAGATGGAAAAAAATTAATAAATGGGCAAATTTTTTCTCTTCCATAAAAGAGAAAAAAGGCAATTGACTTATTAAACTTATACAAAAAAATGGTAGGGCTTTCTTTTTCATCTAAAACTCATGACCACTACTTCTCAATAGTTTGAAAATTCTATTAACTGAATTACACCGAAGATGGAAAATAAGATGAAAAAGAAGGATAGAGAATGTGCTTCTTCAAGGTACAAATTCTTCTAACCTTTTCTCTCAGAGCCTTTCTTTCTGAATATGAAGTTGTTTCTGAACTTCAAGAATAACCAAGTAGCTTTTTTTCAGCATTTGATCATTATATTTGTTGGCAGTCCTGTTGTAACCTTGAGTCACCTACAGTGATTTTAAGTATATTCTAATTGATTTTCTCACTGCTTACTGAGAAACAGCACCTCTCACTAGTCTCATAAATAATTCCATTTCTCTATGTCGATGTTAATTGAACTTACCTCATGTTGTCAATCTCTTTTTTTCTTACAGGTGATGTCATTGTCTATATTAATGAAGTTTGTGTCCTTGGACACACTCATGCAGATGTTGTCAAACTTTTCCAGTCTGTTCCTATTGGTCAGAGTGTCAACCTGGTGTTGTGTCGTGGCTACCCTTTGCCCTTTGATCCTGAAGACCCTGCTAACAGCATGGTGCCACCCCTTGCAATAATGGAGAGGCCACCTCCAGTGATGGTCAATGGAAGACACAACTATGAAACATATTTGGAATACATTTCTCGGACCTCACAGTCAGTTCCAGATATAACAGATCGGCCGCCTCATTCTTTGCACTCCATTCCAGCTGATGGTCAGCTAGATGGCACATATCCACCGCCCGTCCATGATGACAATGTGTCTATGGCTTCATCTGGGGCCACCCAAGCTGAACTTATGACCTTAACCATTGTGAAAGGTGCCCAGGGCTTTGGCTTCACTATTGCCGACAGTCCTACAGGACAGCGAGTGAAACAAATACTTGACATTCAGGGATGCCCTGGCCTGTGTGAAGGTGACCTCATTGTTGAGATCAACCAGCAGAATGTACAGAACCTGAGCCATACAGAAGTAGTGGATATACTTAAGGACTGTCCCATTGGAAGCGAAACGTCTTTGATTATCCATCGAGGAGGTAAGACAAACACTGGCTCAGCAATAAAATATATGGGTAAAATAGTAGGATCCTTTAATAATATTGTTAAAATGGAGATTTCCTTGGAGTTGAATGAAATTATACTTTAAAAAATAAAGCTTAAAGAGTAAGAGAGAAAAATACGAATTAAAGGAAGCTGTGTTTTTGAATTCTGAGAATACGTCTTTTTCTATTTTGTATTAAACACAATAATAGTTCTTTCAGTCTTACAAACATATTGATAGAAAGTTGGAGGGTAAAGATTAAATCCCCAAGTATGAATGTATTCTGTTTCAAAAGTTCATTCATGTATCAGTCGTGGAGAACTCAAACTGGTTTCCCATTGATTTAATTAAGAAACCTGCTTTTCCGATGGAAGCAATACTTTGAATCGTGCTTAGGTTTCCAGGCTAGCAGGTGGAAGCTGGTTCAACCCCTCCCAAGCCCAAGCACAGTCTTGACAATACTCAGAAGGACCATGAACTGTGAGAGCTCTGAGAGCTGTGCTGCTGTCGAAAAATCTTTTCAAAGTTTGGAATGATGTTGTTCAGGACACTTCTGCTACTGCAGGGACTGCTCTAGAAACAATTACCCATAGTACTTCCCATGATCTAAGAAGAAAGTTACAGAACAGGGTGAGGGCTGAAGTTCTGGGCTGAGTGTCGTGGGCAAAGTATGGAAATAGGAACAGGGCCAAGTGTGGTAGAAGCTCTGAGCCCTGAATGTTTCTTCCCCTCCACCTTCTCTGTGGGGAAGGGAATGGGGTAAAGCACAGGGCCCCTTCTCCAGATCTCTTCTGCTTTGCTCTGGATGACCAGTGAACCTGGAGAGAAAAGGGAGGGAAGGGGCCATAGATAAAGAGAATGCTATCTCGAAGAAAGAGTGTAAAGGAAAAGGATCAGGCTAAGCTCTGGTTTTCCTATTTGCCAATTTGTGGACTTAGAACACTGAAAGTCAATGAGCCTCAGCCGTGTCATCTGTTGCAATGGGATAATACTACTACCTAACCCAATGGTAGTGTTGTAGCCCAACATCTGCTCACTAAATGTCTGGCGAGTCTGAATTAATACCGAAGCTTCAGCATGAATGGGTCAAAAGGAACAGGACAATGAGGAACGCATGCATGAAGGACACACATGTGACCAACATGTGGTTGCCTATTCAAAGCACTCAAAACAGCCTGAAACTGTCAGTTTGAAAAGCAAGTGAAGGCACTCAAAGCTGAAAGAAAGTAGCACCTTTTATGATGTATTTGGCCCTCTCTGCAGGTGTTTTTCCTTCAAGGAAGTATTACATTGTTGATTCCTTGTCTGGAAACGGACAGCAAACACCAGGCATTTGTGAGCTGCACTCTATAAAGTCTTAGGTTCCTGTACTAAAAGGGAAATTCATATGATAGCAAAATAATCTTAAATGTGACCTTCTCAAGTCATTGTTACAAAATAGCAGTTGAATTCTGATAATTAAATGTTGGCAGGGTATTTTAATTTTTTGCATTGCTTGAGATTAAACATTCCTAATTAAACAGTCATATCTTCATAGTGTCCAATTGAAAATCAAATATTTGGAACAAGTTCTTGATATTAAAGGGTATCACAAAATCACTGTGCAGTATCTACTGTATGATTCATAGAAACAAATTTGGACACATTTTTTATATACAGCTTCTTCTAAAAGCATGACATAGCAGAAAAAAAGGTACTTTGAAATCCCTAATTTACATTATGGTAATTTGTCCTTTTCTGAAAACATGTATTGTATGCCTGCTATCAGCTAGGCTACCCTATTCTCACTTTTCCTTTACCCCCCATTTACTCCACAAGTAATCAAAGTGGTCTTTGCATTTGGGTTGTGTTTGGGGATGAGGGACTTGCTTTTTGTTTTTTGCCTAGCATAGCAAAATGCAGTATGCTGTGATGCTTAAAGTACTTCTAGTTGAAAACCTCTTGAGTTTACCCTGATTCCCACAATTTGCACTCATCTCTCTGAAATTAATAGGAACTAGCACCACGCTTAGGTGGCGAAATTCACTTTATCTTATTATGGGCTACTCAGAAGTGCCTATGACCTCATTGAGATAAGCAGACTCAAGAGCTGAGTTGCAGGCCTGGGTCCTTATATCAGGACTATGGGTGGTCGGCTGTTTTTAATTATTTACTAGAGTTTTTAATTTATAAAGTAATAATGTACATGGTTTCACTTTTTTAAAGCAAATAATGTCAACAAGTATAAAATGAAAGTACTTTTCTGTCCTATCCCAGACTTTCAGTCCTTTCTCCCTGAGGCAAATATATTGTATGTAGTCACAGAAAGTTTATGGTCTGCTAGCACATGTGTGAATATATATAGTAAGTTTAATGTAGATGGGATACATGTGTGTTACTTTAAAATACCTTGGTTATTTGGTATTTGTTTTACATACACCATGTGGTGTAATTGACATGCCACACAACACTCACTAGTGTAAGTGTATGCTCAGTAAGTTGCTAAAATGATATAGTTGTGCAACAATCATCATAATCCTTAGAACATCCATCATCCAGAGTTCCCTCAAACCCCAGGTAACCACTAATATGCTTTCTGAATAGTTTTGTCTTTCTATAAGTTTTCATAAATGGAATCATACAGTATGTAATATTTTACTTAGCTTAATGCTGGTGAGAGTTCCCTGTGTCGGTGCAGGTTTAAGTGGTTTGTTTCTTTTATGGCTGCTTAGTATTCCATTGTACAGATCCACTCCATTTTCATGTCCATTCATTAGTGTATGGACATTTGAGTTGTTTTCGGGTTTTGACGTTTATGAATCATGTTGTTATGAACATTTGGATACACGTGTTTGTGTGTGCTTATGTTTTCATTTTCTTGGGTAGATACCTAGGAGTGGTATTGCTCAACTGTAAGAAGAATATATATTTAAATTGTTAAGAAATAGAACGTTTTCCAAAACAGCTGTTGTACAAATTTCCAATTGCTGCCCATTGTTGCCCACATTTGATATAATCAGTCTTTATTGTTATTCTAATGAGCATGTAGTGACATCTTTATGTGGTTTTAGTTTACATTTCTCTAATCCTTTTACATGTTTGCCATGTTTTCGTGTGTTTATTAGCATTCATATATCTTCGGTAGCATGTCTATTCAAATAATTTGCCTATATTGTGCTGTCCTTTTAAGTTTTATTAAGTTATAAAAGTTCTTCCTTTATAAGCTATGTGATTTGCAGGTATTTTCTGTCTATGGCTTGTCTTTTCACTTTCTTAGTGGTGCCTTTGAGGCACACAAGTGTTTCTGTTAAAATCCAATTTATCAATTTTTTTTTCTTTTTTTTGAGACAGAGTCTTGCTCTGTTGCCCAGGCTGGAGTGCAGTGGTGTGATCTTGGCTCACTGCAAGCTCTGCCTCCTGAGTTCAAGTGACTCTTCTGCCTCAGCCTCGCGAGTAGCTGGAATTACAGGTGCATGCCACCATGCCTGGCTACTTTTTTGTATTTTTGGTAGAGACAGGGTTTCACCATGTTGGCCGGGATGGTCTCAATATCCTGACCTACCTTGTGATCCACCTGCCTCGGCCTCTTAAAGTGCTGGGATTACAGGCGTGAGCCACCATGCCTGGCCCAAGTGTTTTTTTTCTTGTATGGATCCTTCTTTTGGTGTTATATCTAAGAAATCTCCTGACCCAAGATTTCTTGTGTTTTCTTCTAAAAATTGTAAACCTTTAGCTCATTTATCTAGGTCTATAAACAATTTTAAGATAATTTTTGTGTATACTGTCAATTAAGGGCCTAACTTCATTTTTTTTTTTTTTTTTTTTGCTTATGTATATCCAACAATCACTCTAGCACCATTTGTTGAAAAAGCTATTTTTCATTGAATTCCCTTGACACTTTTGTCAAAAATGAATTAGCATAAATGTGGAGGTTTATTTCTAGATGCCCTATTCCATTCCATTGATCTGTTTGTCTATTCTTGTGCTAATACCATGCTCCCTATGTTACTTTAGCTTTCTATTAAGTCTTGAAACCAGAGGTGTTAGTCCTCCAACTTTTTCTCCTTTTTCAGAATAATTTGGCTACTCTAGGTCCTTGGCATTTCCATAGACATTCTAGTATTGGATTGTTTTTTCATTTTTGTTTTTGTTTTTTAAGAGACAGGGTCTCACTCTGTTGTCTAAGCTACAGTACAGTGGTGCAATCATAGCTCACTGCTGCCTCAAAATCCTGGGCTCAAGTGATCCTTCACCTCAGCCTTTCCAGTAGGTAGGACTACAGGCACATGCTACTGTACCTGGCTTTTTAAATGTTCTTTTAGTGATGAAGTCTCACTGTGTTTCCCAGGGGTGTCTAGAGCTCCTGGGCTCAAGCAATCCTCCTGCCTCTACCTCCCAAAGAGCTGGGATTACAGGAATGAGTCACTGTGCCTGGCCTAGGATTGCCTTTTTAATTATTTGGCCTGCTGAGATTTGGGTGTTACATTGAATCTATAGAACTATTTGTGGAAAATTGCCAACACTGAACCTTTTAATTCATAGGTAGTGTATCTCTTCACTTATTTGGATCTTTAATTTCTCTCAGCAATAGTTTGTAGTTTTCAATGTACAGATCTTGTACTTTTGTTCATTTTATTTCTAGCTATTTTATTCTTGTTGATGTTATTGTCAATGGAATTGTTTTATGTCTTTTCAGGTTGTTTATTGCTAATATATAGAAATGCATTTGTTTTTCATTTTTGATTTTGTACACTGCAATTTTATTAAACTGACTTTTTAAGTCTGGAGGTTTTTTTGTAGACTCCATATTTTCTATGTAGTTATTATACCATCTAGTAATAAAGACAGTTTCACTTCTTCCTTTCCAATTTGTATGCCTTTGACTTCTTTTCCTTGCATTATTACACTTGCTTGAACTTCCCAGAATGATATTGAGTACAAGAGAGGTGAGCAGACATCCTTACCTTGTCACCAATTTTAGAAAGAAAATGTTAGTCTTGCATCATTACATCTGAT